ATTCCACGAATTTAAGAAATCCGACGATGAGTGAACCAACGATACAGCTTCAAACTAACTGTCATTTTCAAAATGAGTTTGAGTGTACCATCTGTACAGATTTTCATGTGCCTCCTGCACAAGTCGAAAAAAACTAAATTGAATTCTCACTTTTGATTAAAGCATAGTTTCGAAAGCTAGCTAAACAGATTTAATTCATAGATTAAAATATGATCATACGCTTTCTAAGCATGTGTTTTGTGGCGAAATGAAAACGCTTCTGCATGACTGTCTCAGATCTGCGAAAATTCCCTTACAACGATTAAAGAATCAGTTGGCGAACATATGTTTTCGGTAACTCATCATCAGGCCGATACCTGTACAAGGGTAATGATCATTCTAATTGTAGACAGGATATAAAAGCGTCTAAGAGGGGCAGGGTTAATCGGACTCCATGTTCTCACGCCGCCCGCATGACGGAGTCAGCGTGTTGAGGCCGGTGTAGTTGGCGTTGGAGGGGGGGGGGAGGGGGAAGGAGAGGGGTTTCAGTTAGATTGTAAGCGCTGTAAGTGCATGTGACTGCTCTCAGGGCGCCGGGGCAGCGTGCTATCACCGCCTGGAGTCGGCCGGGGCAGACAGACGGCTTGTGTCAGCGTTTTCTGACACCAATGCTGGATTCGCTGGTCGAATGGGTACTGCTTCGGTTGTGGCTAGCACCCGTTACGCAGGCCGGGGGCCGGTAGATAACGTCGAGGCTTCTTTAGCGTTGGCCTGGTGGTTAGATGTGCGAGAATTAAACTCGAAATCGACCGACTTTCACCTCCACCTAACCTGACAGGCATGTGTTCTCGTGTTGTCTTTTCCAGACGCCTCGTTGTATGGCCAATATATTCCGCCCAAAGAGCAGGCACTTACAGCGCTTACAATCTAACCGGAACCCCTCTCCTTTCCCCCCCTCCCACCCTAACTCCACCGTTCTTAACACGCTGACTCCGTCATGGAACCCGATTAACCCTGCCCCTTAGACGCTTTTAATATCCTGTCTACAATTAGAATGATCACTACTTACGTACAGGTATCGGCCTGATGATGAGTTACCGAAAACATATGCTCGTCAACCGACGCTTCTAAATGAATAGCTACCGGGTCAGTGGAGTAAAAATGGTTTGAAGGTGGAAATTGGATACATTTCCAAAGGCCTCCTCAGAGCACATCGTTCTCAAGCTTATAAAACAAACCTCAGTAGATGAAACCTTGATGTCATCAAAGCCCCTCTGACGGGTGCTGTGGCCACAAATTTGGGGCAAAAGACCTTGGAAGCCCTTATACGTCTTCCCCAATACTGACAGCTACTGATAAGCAAGTTAACGCCGCCGGACAAAGAAAGATTCTGTCACCATGAGCGTAGAGGCGCCATTAGATTTAATGTCTGCGGCAATTTGCGGGCGATATCTTTGTGAATGCACGGTGGAGGCGGCTGATTCGATTGCAAATAAAGTGGTTATGCTTCGAAAGACTGGATATCATGAAGTGCTGAATCTCGGTCAGCCATCTCATTAGAACACTTAAAAATGGTGGTTATAGCCCAGAAAACAGAAATGCCTAAGGCTCGCCGGATTAGGTGTCAAGATTCATATTTAACCGCTCATACGCCGCGTCAAAAGGGCTGCGCAGACTTGCGAACCTTCAGGTTTATTTCCGGTTTAGGTTCCACAAAACGCCACCAAAATGATAAAAGAAATGTAAGCAAGTGCTGATATACTTTACGCCCTGATAGCTTTTCCTTTTACTGATTGTTATGTAGTGGGTGTAAGTGCCGGTGTCAGACTTCAGAGCACCGAAAAACTAAATTATTTCGGACTTTCGGGGATTGATCTAAGCAGAGCAATCCATAACTAAGACATCCAGAATCAAATTAAACCATTATTGACCGATCAAAACTTGTATACAGTTTTGCTGTTTGCGGACAGGAGTAGATAACGATCGGGGTATCTGACCCCACTGAAAAAAACGAGAGTCAGGGACTCCTGTACACAGAAATCGTGGCAACGAGGTTTTATGAGTTTTATAAACGAAACTGACATAGCAGTCTTTGGGAGGCAAAAGCCAGTAGGTTGTTTAAATACACCAATAAAGCATGAGGACAGGTGTGGGCAATTTTTAATGGTAGATATGAGGGACTGCAAACGGACGAAAAGACTGGAAACCGTGGGAAGATATTCCAGGTAAAATGGTGCAGACCGTGATGGTTTGTCACATTAAGGTAGACAGTATGAAACAATATATCGATAAATCTGACTCTCTTGGTTGCCGCGATTGAAGACATAATGTGATTTGGCAGGGCTGATAGCCTAACTCCTAACTCTAAACCTATGTATAAAGTATAAACCTAACACTGGTCACTAACCCGGTTTCGAAGGGGGCGCGTTGGCCCTAAACCCAACCCCTAACCCTAACTGAGCGTTAACTCTCATGGTAGCACTTGAGAGGGTCGTGACGGGAATAAGTGATAGGGAAGAGAGATTAAAGTACACCTACCAAGTAACATAAGTAGGTAAATAACAGAAGTAAAGAGTAGATGGGACCGCATTCCCGATCGTCATCCAGACCCAAAAGCTGTGGTTAGTGACCTCTTCAACACGTTCTGGGTGCACTTTGATCTTCGTTCGTTGGCATGGTCAGTTCACCACTTAAGATGCTGTGTAAAACCTGCTATGAATCCCTTCTCTATCAGATAAAAGATCGGAAGCGCAAGAAGGCAGAGCATATGGTGGAATGGACATTCTGGACACCTGGATCCACCGAGAGCGCAGGCAGCTAAAAGAGGATTACGTTCCGACAAGTGCAAGAAAGCTCCGCACGGTAAATACAATTTGATGACCAAGGTGAAAGCGATTGGGGTGCGATTAATCTGCGTGTTGATTTGTTCCGATGAAATACTTTTGCATGCATATCGATGATAACTATTTTAGTTGATAGAAACAATCCCTGACAAACTTGGTCCGCCAAATATTCAGCCTCCCACTAACATCGTAAGTAGCCATAGGTTAAGGAATATCGGCTTAAATAAAAAAAAATTTCGCGTACTTTTTCACTGAGCAACCGATCTTCTGTGTCATCAGGACAAAACAAATTGTTCGGTGGCTGGTTTGGAACAGTAAAAACCATGATAAGGACTGTTTAAATGAAAAGAACAATAAAGGGAGGCTCATGCGAGAGAAATTTTGACGGGGTTGTTTAATGGGCAAATTTGCTGAAAAGATGAATTGCTCCCTGCACGGGGTTCAAAGGTCTGCCGCCACGTTAGGACATATCATGCTATGATCTTTCAGCGAAGGAATACAAAACATGGACAAACGAGCGGCATTCCCACGCAAATGCGTCGGATTGCAATGCGCACTGAAATTTGCCAGTATCGTATATTCACGAAATTATGAGTCCCAGACCGTATTCGCATATCGAATGACTCATCATACTGACAGCAGATTTCGTGTCATTTCGTGACTCAGCTGTTAGGCTTTTGACTCAATACTGAATCTCATAGCGTTCCTCGTGTGCCGTGCGGTATATACTCCAGATTTTCAATACAACGAAACGTGTGTAAGGGCTTTGATCTGGTATTCTGTGCTCAGTATTCGTGTACTACCGGCCGCCTGTGTCAGTTTGTGAATGTTACGCTATTATTCCGCAGTAGCTGATGGATTTCAGCTCATATATTCATGCCAACCTTCGGGCCAAGTCTAGAGAGGTTTATTCCGTAGGACTTGTTTCAAGCTCACGTATTATTTTCCGACAAAATTAGAAATAGATGATAGACTCTACTCAATAAGTGTGTTTTCATAATTATGACCGATGTTTTATTAACTATGTATGCTCTGGACTGTGTCAGTCAGTTATGCTTGGTCAATCTATAAAGCAAAACCGGTAGTCATCCCTACCCCTAGTTTTGAAACAACCGATATGAAATGACAGAAAATACAGAGATCCTGGAACTACCGTACTCATCTCGATACTCTCAATAAGCGCAGCGTGAATTCGTCTTCCCAGTTACTTCTCAAATTATACTACTTCGAAAAAGATCTACCAACAAGTAAAAATCACCTGATGTACAACACGAGTGATTTTATGCTTAAAAACACAAATGAATACCGGTCGCAGAATAACGCGTGAAATCTCGTGGTCGTTAAGAGGTGTCTTCGCAATATTTCCAAAGAGGCCTACGGGCAGTCCGCTATGCAGTCTATGCGTCAGCTACTCACCCTTTAGTACCGTCTCTCTCACTTTCGGCATTTCGCTTTCCGATGCACAATGGGGCTATTGAATGCCAACCGACACGAGTTTTGCAGATGCGCATCCGAAATTACTAAACCAGTAATTTACTATTTTTCGCCGATACACACATTCTACATCGGCGTGCCCAGACCTACGAGTTTTCACTAGAAAGGCGAAAAAATAGAGCACCTGAAACCGGCTTTTTGTGTAAAATTCGATTAAGTGACTTATTTAAGCCAGTTTATTCTGTCATGTTGATAAGTCTTTTATCAAAATCTTGTACCTCCCTCTTGGAATTCAAAACGTTTTGAGCAGCCATACCCGATGGAACCTCGACCTGACTTTAAGACATCGTTTTCCTATAGCTAAGGCTAATTACTCGTTTTAAATTCTTTCCACTGTCGAACTAACTATGGTTGCCATTAGTAGTAAACTACAGAAGCCCTCCACATAACTAGGATATGCTAATGCAGGGCTTAAAAACACGTTAACTTTAGTCAACTTTCTGAAGTTAGGTTGTGGTACCTGTCTGTCATAAAACAAGGCCGACCCAATGTCGGCCAATCAAATTCAAGATTTCAGGGAAAAGCAATGCGACCTCGACAGTAAAAAGGACGCGCACTGCGCTTAAGCACTTTATTCCAATTGGACGACGAAAACTGTCAAATTGGCGCAACCACCAATGAGAACGCCCGGGACACTATCATAACTGCACACCCAATGCAGAAGGCAAATATTCTGCAAAAGCAATGACATCGCGCGGCGGAGTGTCCGGTGGTCGATCCGTTTTGATTGCTGTCGATGGTTCCGAGAATGCAAAGTATGCGTTCAGGTGGTACCTGAAGTGGTCACGCCGGCAGGACGATGTTGTGACATTCTTCAACGTACTCGAACCTCCCTCTCTACCCACCTTCAGCATTTCGAATCCAAGCTCAATTCCAACAGAGGAATGGGGCAACATTCTTTCCTCCCGTGTTGAGGCAGCTCGAAAGCTGGAGGACGATTATACTGCCGAGGCACAAGCTGCTGGGTTGAAGTTCGAGTACATCAGTCAGCCGGCCGAAAAGGTTGGAGAGGCAATCATTAAACAGGCAGAAAAACAGGGAGCTCATGTCATAATTCTCGGCACACGCGGTCTGGGACCAATTCGGCGGACTTTACTTGGCAGTGTAAGCGATTATGTTCTTCATCAGGGCATAGTTCCTGTGACAGTTGTACCAACTGATGGTTAAACCCTGGCCCGTTCTATGCAGGACATTCGTGTTTGATTTTAATAACTGAAAATTTCAGCCGTCCGTCACCTGAACAAACGTATTAACCCTTTTTCTTGGTGATTTTGTTTTTGTGTCTTAGAAAAACCCTATGGCTTGCTTTAACGTCTTGCTTACTGTTCATTTCCCGGAATATTTTTAATACAGCGCACGAGTAAAATGTAAACGGTTGGCTTCAGACAATAGCAATGTTCGTTAATTGTGGGGGGAATTGGCGCCAACTGCTATCTTTTTACAACAGATATCTTATGGTGCGCCCATAAGCAGCAGTGCTTTCAACTTACCGCAGTTGTATTCCGATGAGTGTTTAGTAGACGCAATTAACAGCCTTGCATATAACAACTTTCAAAAATGGTAGTCTGAGCCCAAAAGCTTCATTACCATTAATGCTCCGTGCCGTCAAAAATTGAAGTTTGAAAAAAGTCGATAAAATTTTTTTATTTCGCTATATTATGCAACAAATGGAAGAATGGCAAAAAAGGATTGCTCCGTGTAAGGGGCATA